GCCCCTTAATTCGTTGCGTATCGAATGACTTTTCGGGGGTGGGTGTAATTTTGGTAGTGCTTACGGTTGTGTGTGTGTGAGATTTATGAGGTGCATTTCAATGCTTCAAGTGGAATGGACATTTTGAAATTATTTTAGGTCTCACCACTGGATTTCCGTGTCTAGACCAGAGGGGAGACATACAAAATTATTTCAAAATTTGAAATGATACTCGCTAGGGGGGGGGGGGGGGGGGGGAAATGTTTTTGATGTTTAGATGCAGATGATAATTTAGTTAAAATATTTAAATTTTTGTTCTTCATTTGTTTTGTTTTCTTTAAAAATAAAATTTTGTATAATTTTCATTTAAATTTCTTAGAGGTTGTTGCTTGGTTGTTTGTTAAAAAATATTGATTATTTTGTTTGAGAAAAAATTTAGTTTGAAATGTTTTTCAACCTCTAATCCAAAAAAAATTGTTTAATTTTTGTTTATGGTAATTTTCCAAAAATTAATTAAAATTAAAAAAATATTGGAATTTTGTTTTTCTTTTTTTTTTAGAAAAAGAAAATACAAACAAATTCATTTGTTTAAGCTTTGAAACAGGAAATTTTTGTTGTAATTTGTTTTCCAAAGGAAATATTTTGGTTTTTTCATTTTCAATTCATTGAGATTTTGTTTTGTGGTTTCTTTAAGAATTCATACAGTATTGAAGAAAATTTTTGATAAATGCCTATCATATTCCATTTTTAAAAATACATGCCATTGATTTCTTTCAAAAAATTTAACGTCTCTAATTGGGTTTATTTTCAATTTGGCATTTATGAACAATTTTCATGCATTTACTGTATTTCCATTTTGTCTGGTCAAATTTATGTGTTTTCTTTTAATTTTCTTTTTTGTTATTTTGAAGAAGCTTTAATCTTTTCCATATTATGTTCTTATTTCTTTATCATCTTCTTCTTTTGCTTCTTCTTTTGGCTAAAATATATTTAGTTTCATTTACTTGTTATTTTTTTCATTAATTACAAAGGTACTTCATGTTTTTTGGTTTAATTTTTTAGAACAGTTGTTTTTTGCATTACTTTGTTCTGTGGGAATTTTTACTTTTCAGGTTCAAGTTTTGTTCTTTTTTTGTTGTAATAATTTTTTTGCTTGACATGTCCAGGGAGAAGGAATTTTTCATCCATTTCTTTTTTAATTACATTTTTTCTGAGGGAAATCTTTTCGTTTTTTCTTTTATCATTAATATTGGTCTTTGAAATTGTTCTTAATTTTCTTTTCGTTTAAAAGTTTTTCTTTTCCCGTGTTTTATTTTCATATTTTATTACTTTTGTTTCCAATTTTTTATTTTCATTTTTTAATATTAGTATATAGTGGTCTTCTTGATTTTGTTGTTTTGTCAAGCCAATTTTAATTGTTTGTTGTTGTTATATTTTTTATATATTATTTGTTTTTTTAGTAATAATCAAAAATTAAAAAATAAAAATTTAAATCAAAAAAGTTACTTAAGGTACTCTTTGTTAAGGGTTTATAATTTTAACAATAATTTTAAAAAGAAGTTCAAAATTTATTTTTTAGAGATATTGTAGATATCTTTTGAATATTTTAAAGATAAGTAAATATTTAAATGGTTTATGGAATAGAAAAATTTTATTAGAAATTTTCGAATGGAGATTTCATCATGAGAACATTAAAATATATAAGTGTTAAACGTGGTACCATTTTATCCAAATTGGATTATGAACAATGGGAACTAGCGGAACTGATTTTACTGAAACTAGTTCACATTAACTATCGGATGCTAGGAACTATTTCACAAAAGGAACCATCGATACTAGGTCCGGTTCTTCTGTTCATCTAGTTTCATTTTGCTCTAGTTGCTCTTGTTCGCTTAGTTCCTTTTCATCAAATCGTTAATGTACATCAAACAACAATGGAAACTATGTAACTAATTTAACATGTTGGGTCGTTCTGGGACGAACTAGTTCAATGCAAATAAAAGTCCTGTCATAGGTCCGGTTCTTCCCTTCATCTAGTTTCCTTTTGCTCCAGTCGTTCCATTTCGCCCGCGTTTTCTTAGTTCCTTTTGAAGAAATCTTTCATCTAGATCTCAACCGAAGTAACCGACGCGTACCAATGAACGACTGAACAAAAATTAAATATGGATCTAAATAAATAATTTAATTGCTTTTGCGAAGCTAACTGGAAAGATTCGAACCATTTTATTTATTCTCTCATCAACAGTTTCTTAGGAAGAATTCTCAGTAACATTCACACATAGTAATGATCACTAGTGTTATATAACTGTTTTGATTTCACTAGTTCCATCATCTATTTCATTATTCTCTATTTAGTTCGTTGTTATATTGGTAAACATTCGCCTCGTTCATAGTTCACTACCAAAACCTATTAATAAACTTATCCAGAAAGATCAGCTGCTTCTCCAGTTTGCTGTCAAATTTTCGTTATTGCGAATTGACTTCACATTATGATAAGGCAAAAAACCGTTCAAATTGTTTACATTCAACTTGTATAAAATCAGCTGGTTTTTGTTTTCTTAGTGACCTTATTAATAGGCCTTAGTTCACTACCAACTTCACTGAATGAACATAAAAAATATTGCTGTTCTTTTTTATTTAATGCAAATATATTTTTATAAAAATATATTTGTAGTTTTGGGATATATGGACAATGGAAAGCAATATATTTCATTATTCTCCTTTCCCGAACTATTCGTTCAATGAATAAACTGAACATTAGGGAACTTGTAAATTGACCAAGTTCAAACTCTCTTTTCAGGGAATCGTCATGAACTAAAAAACTTCATTGGTTTACAAATTAGTTGAATAATTTATGTTCCGAAGATAAATCTTCTAAAACATTTAAGATCGTTTTGAATTTTATGTTGCAGATGATATGCAGCAGAAGGATAGTAATTTGGATTGGTGGAACTAGTCCAAAGGAACTATTCTGTAAAAGGAGCAATCAGAAGTACTAGGACATGTTTTATCGTTTATCTAGTTCCTATTGCTCCAATCGTTATTTTTTTCAATGAAAAAATTGAACTTAAAGGAACTTTGGGAACCTAGCTTCAATTGTTCATGAACTAAACAACTCTTTGGATTATAAAATCAGTTGAATAATTTATGAAGATTTATCTTTCAAAATATTTAAGATTGTCTTGAATTTTATTTGCAGATGTTATGCAGCAGAAGACAATTATTTGGATTTCAAAAAACAAAGAATTTCTATTATGTGTTGGAACTAGTCCAAAGGAGCTATTCTGCAAAATGAACGATCAGTACAAATTCCTATTCATTCGTTCATCTAGTTTCAATTGCTCCAGTTGTTAATTTTTGCTCTAGTTTACCTAGTTCCTTTTGATCCAACTGTTCTCCGTTGGCCGAATTAGCAGATGTGTACCGATTGAACGATTGAACTAAATGAATAACCTGGCTCATTTTATGGAGCGAATCGAAATTGGTGGAAGCATTGAAATTACATTATTATTGGGCATCTGAGAAGAATGAATGACGTTCCGAATTCAAAATTACTGAATTGAGTATTTTTATTTTAATCAACAATTGTTTTTCCGAATTAGAATTTTAATTTTAGAGGGTTTCCTTTTATTTTATATCTTCAAGGAATTTAATTTAGGCACCTCAGAAGAGGTAACATTCCGAATATAACTATTTCGCAAATAAAAATGTTTTTTTTTTTTTTTTGTAAATTTGTAAATAGATCTACGGAACATTTTTTGTGTACAAGTTTCTATACTGGTGTATTTGTTTGTAGGCGTTGTAAATCTACAGAGTAGCTTTAGAGCCGAAAGACGAACAACAAAATATGACAAATATGTCTGAATCATTTATGTGTCAGTTTGCAATTCTTTGGTTGGATAGCACGAATTATTCCAATCGATTTTCGAACTTTAAAGATTGTAGATAATAATTATTACTTTCACAATTTTTAAATTTAAAAACTTAAAAAAATGCCAAATTTTTATTATTTTAAATATCACAAAAAATTAAGAAGAGAAATGAAAAATATTTATTTCTCTGAATTTATTTTTAAAATTACGAAAAAACTTATTTTTAAAATTATAAACCCTTAATTAAGGGAGAACAACATAAAAATCTATAACTTAAATTAATTTATTAAAATAAAAATATTAAAAATTATTCGCTTTTTCATTAAAACTAAAAAATCTTTATAAAAATATATTAAAAAAATTACTTTTCTTGTTTTTTAAATAGAAAATAAAATAAAAAATACTTTTTTCTTCTACTTCATCAAGATCATGGTACTTTCAAAAGCTCTTGTTGTTGTCGATTTTTTTTATGAGCAGCAGATTTTTGTGCTTTAGTTGTTGTTCTTGTTCAATACATCCGGCCAATTGTTCGTTTGGTTTAATTTTGTTTGCCGCCCTTTTCAACTTTTTCTTTTGATAATCTAAAATCTAAATTACATTTACTTATAAGTTAATTTAAAAAATAATTTCTATAGGTTTCTTGTTCTTTTTTTAAATTTCTGCGTTAATTTTCTGTGCGACCTGTTACGCCATTTGTGTTTCGTTCTTTTTGGAGTTGGTAATTGTTTTTCTTTCATATTTTTTTCTATTTAGAGCTATTTGTATTTAAAAGTGTTAATAAATTTTCTTAAAACATAAATTAATAAAAAAATTAAAATTAGTTATAAAACAAAATAATAAAATCTTCTTATAATGGATAAATTATTTAATGGAAAAAAATAATTTTTATTAAAATCCAAATAAAACCTAAGGATGATATTTTCCGGATTTCTGGTTAAGTCGCAAAATTTAAAGATGGTGTTGCTGGCGTATTTAATAATGATGGTATGTTATGTACTCTGTTGCTTCTCCAAATGCTCATCTTCTTCTTCTTCTTACTGTTGTTATGGTTTTAAATTTCACTTGACGAGGGGGATGTATTTGTTTTGTTGTTGTGGTTTTTTAATAAAATTTATTAACATTTTAAATCAAACGCTCGCTGTACCATATTCAGAAATCGGTATTATTGCTGGCAATTTCACTTTCCGAATCTCCCTCGGCGGTTGTGGGTGGTAGCGCCAGCGACATCTGTTGGCCAGCCAGGGCCATTGATGGTTCTGTGTTGCGACGTTTCATTTTATTTTTGACTTTTTTCAACATGGTCGCCTATGTTTGTATTTTTTTGTAATAATTTAAATAATTAAATATTTTTGTAGGGGTTTAACGTCCGGCCCACACATTTACATTTTTAATTATTTTCAATTTGTCATTTTAATTTTTTGTTTAGATTTTTTTTGGATTGGGAAATATTTTTTTGTAAAAGAAAGAGAAAAAGAAAATATTTGTATGTTTTTAATTTTCTATCAAATTGCGGATTGTAATAAATTAATTTTAATATTTATTTCTTTAGATATTTGAAATAAATTATTAATTAATTTAAGAAAACAAATTAATTGGGTGCAAAAATTCGCCATTATTTTTTTAAAACGTTTGTAAAAGAAATCAAAAGTTAGTTTAAAGCTTTAATTAAAGAAACAAATATTAAAAATCTAAAATTTTGCAATAAACGAAACTAAATAAAATTTACGAAATAATTAAACTAAACTTAAATAAGCAAAAGGCATATTATCTTCAGTTAGTATTAGTATTTAAAATATCATTTTTGATGAAGAAGTTAGAATTGTATCTAATGAAGCAAATACTAGTTAGAGGTGCTGTTGATATTTTGCTTTGAGCACTACAAATAGAAACATTTAATGTTTCTTTAATGAATAATATAATCAATATTATAATTATAAGTTTTAAAAAAAATTAAATTAACAAACTCAATTTGAAATTTAAAATATTATCTTTAAAATTTGAGAACGTCTAGTTCAAAAAATGTATACTCAAGTTCATTTGGAACAGTTTACTTTTAAATTAAAATCATTTGACGGAACTAGTTCGTTTATTCATTTAGTGAATAATACATTTGTATTATTATAAATGTTACATTTTTATTTTCCTTTATTTTAGACGAATATAATATAGTTAGTAGGTCAACACTGAACTGGTTGAAATATTGAGTTTTTTCATCTCGTTCAGTTCTTTAGTTCTATTTTGATAATCGAGTTCATGTTTCACGATCTAAATCCATGGACTCTTAAACGTTCGATGCCTTAAAACTTGGCGATGTAAATTGAAAAAAATTATTTAAATTTTTCTGAGAGTACCACAATTGAAAATACCTGTAGAGAGTGAGACTAACTCAGAATCCACCGTATGAAACGACTCAAGAAAAAATAAGGCAGATACCAAAAATTTCTAACTAGATATGCAAAGTCCAAACGTTCAAATGCCGCTTCCGGCTCTTAAAATGTCAAATCCACAATATTTAAAAACAATATTTGAATTGACATTTGAAATCGAGTGGATTTTTTCTTAATTATCTCCTCTCGTTCCAGGATATATTAGCATTTTTCGATCCATGCAGGAACTGAATTACACCTAGTTCATATGTTCGTATCCGTGAATTGGCATTGAACTACAATTTTTGATTAAACAAAATCGAAAATCGATCACCAGTTCGTCTTCGGACACATAAAGACACAATTTTACGAGTGAATCACGGCTATGGGCTTAGCAAAATTGCGATCTGTTAAGATCTCGCTTAACAACGCATGAGTTTGAACTAGTTCATTGGAACTATTCCGAGAAAACGACCGCATAAAGACACAATTTTACGAGTGAATCACGGCTATGGGCTTGGCAAAATTGCATTCTGTTAAGATCTCGCTTAACAACGCTAGTTTATTGGAACTATTCCGAGAAAACGACTAGCTTAAGTTCTGTTAAAGAACTAATTTCTTCTAGAAAATGTACGAGGAAGATCGATACCCTCCGTGCATTATATTGTCAAACTCTAGAGAGAAGTGCAATTGGTTCGTGAATAAAAAAGCTACATTTCGGTTAGTCTTCGGATGGCTCACAATAAATACAAAGTCGTGTATGATTCTTCTAACAATCCGCATGTTTAAAATAATAAATTACACGAAACTCTCAAGGCTAAGTGGGCCTACACATAATATAATCATCTAATAGAATCTGAAATCGACATTTAAAACCTAAACCAAAAAATACCTAATTTACAAATTATCGTGCCTGAATGCACTAGTTCATTTGGTACTGTTCCGAGAAAAGAACGATCAAAATTAGTTCTAGCTCCAGCTCATTAATTCAGATTTCACATTGTTAAATAAATTAGTCCCTGAACGCACTAGTTCATTTGGAACTGTTCTGAGAAAGGAAGGATTGAAACTAGCTCTAGCTCCAACTCAATAATTCACATAGTTCCCTCGTTGGTCTAAAAAACGAGATTCGTTCTTTCTTGTTTATTATTCAAATGTTATCACATTGTTACATAAATTAGTCAATTTGATTCTTGCAGTAACTGTTCTGAAAAAGGAACGATTGAAACTAGCTCTAGCTCCAACTCAATAATTCACATAGTTCCCTCGTTGGTCTAAAAAACGAGATTCGTTCTTTCTTGTTTATTATTCAAATGTTATCACATTGTTACATAAATTAGTCAATTTGATTCTTGCAGTATCTTTTATGTACAGGAACAGACCATATGAGAATAAAAATAAACATTAAAAGAGAGAGATTGAAATGATCTATCCAGGAGTCGGAACTATATGATGCGTAGGAATTAAATTTAGGAACTAGTTTCTTTCAAGAAAAGAAACGAGTATGATCGATACGCTTCACTCCCTGAACTATAATGAACTAAAGAACTGAATGTCTCATAGTTGCATTTAGTTCAATCGTTCTGCCAATCATTAACGAAAATATCTATATAAACGGTTGAATCAAAAGGATGTAAAGGCAAACAGGAATGACTGAATCAAATGAAACTAATTGAACGAAAGAATCGAACCTAGTTCCAGTCGTTTCTTTTGCGACTTTCTTTTACGAAAAGAAACGAGAAAGATCGATATGCTACACTATGTGAACTATAGAGAACTAAGGAACTGTGAATGTCTCATAGTTCCATTTAGTTCAATCGTTCTGTAAAACATTAACGAGAAGATCAATATGAACAGTTGAATCAAAAGGATTCTAAAGCAGAAAAGCAGGTATGTAAACAAACTAAATAAACGAAAGAATCGGACCTAGTTCCGGTCTTTCCTTCTGCGAAATAGTTTCTTAAAACTAGTTCTTTACGGAAAGACCCAACTCTTGTGAACTAGGTTGCTCAACTTTAGAAAGACTTGCAGTTGGGTCGTGAATATAAATAAAATCTCTATTTCCCTGTTGAATTTTGATCGATTGGAATAAGGATGTTGTTTTATAATGAATTTGAAAATGTAAATAATATATTTCGAAATAACCCCAAATGAACAAGGTGAATAAAAAGTCGAGCCTAATTTCTGGTTCGAAATAGTTCTTCTGAACTATTTCGTTCCGAAACGACATAGTTCTAAAATTCAGTAGGATTCCGTTTCGCAATGAAATAATTCAAAGGAACTAGTCAGAAACAGGATGTGTTGTAACTAGGTCCGACTTTTTTGTTCGCCAAATTCATTTGGTTGCAATCGTTCATCTAAATTTTTCCAATCATGGAGTGTACCATTGAAATATCGAACCAAAAGGAGCTATGGAAAGAAATTAATGACCTAGTTCTCTTGTGGAGACAAACTACTGAAGCGAACTCTAATGGATTTATTTTCTTCTAGGACTGTACTGAAGAAAACCTTAACGTTTGTGATGATTTCTTTTAGAGGTTTTAAATTTTTAAATAAGTCGGACAGAATTTATTTAAACTGATAATTCTTCACATTCCATCGTTTTGGAATAACTTGTTTTTACGCATGGGAAAATATATTTATGAAAAGGTCCAAAAACAGATTTTTATAATAAGGCTTAAAAAACAACTGACATACAGAGCATTTGGAATTTCATAAAAATTATGAACATTTTCGAAACAAGATCTTAGACAAATAGAAAAGGCGAATTTGAAATATGACTACAATTTATTTTTTTAAAAAATTAATTAGTAATTATTGTTATTTTTTAAATAATTATAGAAACCATATGATTTAAATTAAACGTTTCTAATACTAAATTACTTGAATATAGCAAAATAAAATATATAATAATAAAAAAATAATTTAAATTAAATAAATTATAAGAGAAAAAAATAAACAAAAAATGATGGAAGTTTTGGGTGGTGAATTAATTTTTTATCTAATTTAGGATACACTGATTTCCAAACTAATTTCGAATTGAAAAAAATAATTAATATTAAAAATCTCTCATATAGTCCCGTTAATTTGACAAACATTCTTTTTCCTATTCAATTTCATATAGATTTGTATTTTTTTTCAGAAAACACACTTTCATTTACATTCCAACTAACAATTTTCAATTAATTGGCTTTGTTTTTTTTTTTTTAACTTTAATAAATGCTTAATTTATTTTATTTCAAAAAATGGGAATTTATTTAATTTTTTTACAGTTTATTGTAGTTCTTCTATTTTGTTATTTGGAATTTTTCAAATTGCCTTGCAATATGGTTAATTATTTTGTTTTATTTAAATACTTTTATTGGTGTTTTATTTGTTGTTGTTGGTTAGGTTTGTTGTAACTTTTATGTAAGACCAAGATTATTATTTTTGAATTATAGTTATTTATATATTATTTTATTTTCTCTTAGGAATTTTTTTTCTATATTTTTCGCGATTTTTTGAATATTTTTTTTTATAAAAAACACGAGAAAAGAAAACATAGACCGGACGGACGCGACCTCTATGTATTGCTATTGGGTGTCTGTTGTTGTTGTGACTGTTGCTGCTGCTGTTGTTGTGCTTGTTGTTTTTGTTGCTCCTGTTGCTGCTGTTCCTTATCCTTGTCTTTATTTTCCTTTTCATTGGTATTTCCCACTATGGCCAGAGCAGCTGCCGAATTGGTCATTTCCGAAAATTGTTGTGGCTGCTGACCCGTAACCTGAGCCACAATTTGCAATGCCGTCTGTGACGATGATGTAGCTGCAGCTGTCGACGACAAACTGAGCACAGCCGGTGAAATATGGGGCTCGGTTAGACGCCGTTTACTCTTAACTTTGCGTAACATCCAAGCCTAGATTTGTATGATGAAGAATTATATTTATATTTATTGAATTAGCCTGAGAAATTATTGATTTATTTTTTGTTTTGTTTCAAACAGGAATTTTCTTTCGTTTTTTTGGAGGGGGAATAATAGTGAAATAGTGCTCTGTACCTAATCCAATCACGACAATATAATTTTGAATTACAATTAAAACGTATAACACCTCTTTAAAATATGTAATTGCATTCTGTAATACAAATGTTCTGTAAGAATATCTAATTTGTTTTTTTTATTTTTAGGGATTTTTTAGAAAAATAATCATAGAATATAACTAGACACAATATTGCTGCAATAATATATTTTTTATAATTTTTTGGTTTATTATTCAGAAAACTTTCTTTCTAAGATTTAGTTAAAAAGAACCCCACCCATTCGTGAGCTGCACCATGTTGAAGACTTGTTACTTTGCATATATTTGAAGACTTACAGCCTGTTTTTGTAAAATTCCAAACGAACGAATTCGAGTGACTTACGGCCAAACCTTTATTTATGTTTATAAATGTTTTCTGAATCAAAAAAAAAATAAATGACATATTTTTCAAAACCAAGGAGTTTGGTCGTAAGTCACTCGAATTCGTTCGTTTGGAATTTTACAAAAACAGGCTGTTAATGGAAAAGAAAATAAATTGTTAAATTGTTATTTTGTAGTTGTTTTTTGTAATTAAATAAAAGTTCTTTCACTCGACGGCGAGCATGATTTCCGATCACTGCAACATCAATTACAAAAACTCCAACGTATTTCGAATGAGTACATGTCTGGCTCTGGTATAAATTAGGTTTATTAAATCCGCAGAAAAATTAACCAAATGGCGGACTTATGAAATTTGATTTTTGAACCACAAACCATGTTAGGGTGTGTCCCCAATATTTTAGCTCAGATTTTTCCAAAAAGTTATGCCTCAGATCAGAGACGCCAGAGAGGGACCCCAAAATGATTTTTTTTTTACACTAAATTTATGTTTCCAAAAGCGATTTATTTAAATTTTTACTATTAATCTTAGTCTTAGGCCTTTTTTTGTACTAACAAATCCATTCTAAATAAACTTTTAGATATAGTATTAACACATTGCTGTTTCAATACCAAAATATTGATATACATATACCAAATAATTTTATATGAGAGCTACCCTAAAAAGTGGAACAATATTGATAATTTTTAGTATGAAAATTTTCTATCCAATGAGAATGATCCAATATATCCCATCCCAAACATCCTAAAAGCCTTAGCAATGTTTGTACAAAATTGCAGAGCTCTATCTTAAATATTGCGAACTCTATCTTGATTTCAATGGGTCACGGGTAAGTCAATACAGAATTTTATTCTGATCAAGAATATTTGTACTTTATGTGGAGGGTATAAAAAGTTCGACCATGGGGTCTGCATTCACTGGACTTTTATACGGGGACTATGGAAAAATAAACTTCCAAATCTCACAGACACTCAATTTGGAAAACTGGTCTACAAAATTCACACCGAAATTTAAGCCGTTACATTGTAAGGATGTTATGAGGCAAGATTATGTCACCCTCCAAGATCCCGGAATTCCACATTACAGCCACTTCGCTATGTTGGGGACTACACCAAAATATGGCCTAATATTGAACATTTTCTGCCGAGTTGTTTTTCACTATGCAAGAAGCATAAATACAATAATTTCGATGAGAAAAATTTGCCGATCACTTGAGACATAAATGTGTACCGATATTGATAGATTTCCTACTACCCAATTAATATACCCTTCATACAATGTTTGAGTTTATAACAAAAACGTTGTTAGTTCGACCGGACCGATATATTTATACGCTCCGCCATGCGATATGCACTCTAAATTCGAGACCTTTTTATCAAGCTATTAAAAAAACCGGGCAGCGGAGCAGTATAGAAGCACGGGGCAGACAATATGATATCCTACACAACTTCCACGAAAATTTAAATTTCTGTGGTACTACATTCTGAGCTTGGGCAATATTTCGCGATATTTACACCCTCTTGACCGACTAGAGGTCAACAAATATTACTAATATTCAGTACAACCCTTCTAATTACTTGTCCAGATTCCCCCACCGTGGGTTGTGTTGTGATGTTTGGCTTTCAATTGTAGTCTATAGATCGACTCGAAAAAAAAAAACACAAAAAAAGTTTTCGGTCCTCTTCACCCCAATATTATTATCTGATAATCGCCGAAAATTATAGGCGTTGTCCTTGTCCATACCAGGATTCTCATGGAAAATTAAAAAGCCCTGTAGTGTGGTAATTGGTTACTAAATAATATATGAATATTTATGTGTAACTCCCACATCCTAGTACATACGATAATATAATTGGTATCAACTTAAAGGTCAACCACTCCTCTTGGATATACTATCAACTTCTCGGGTCTATGTCTTTAAGGAGTAAATATATAATTGTTCACACAAAAGTCAGGGTCCATTTGACCCGCTAAATATTGACCGATATTTATCAAAACAAACATGCTTATTTTTTGGCCTGATTCCCTTCTCCATGTAAAAATTCGTATGTTTGGCCCATAATTGCGGCCTCACGAGCGACATTGGTCCATAATTTTGGCCTGATCAACTCAGTCGAGATATGACGAACGTGGGTTTAGGACTTATATTTCGCGGTGTTACAAACTATTGTATAGGGTATTAAAACTATATATATATATTTAAATTACAAACTTTTGGGACTGCACAAAGCTATAATACCCTGACAACATAGTTGTGTAGGGTATAATAAGTTTTTATACACCAAGAATCCGGAGTTTGGGAATTACAATTTTTGGAAAGATATTTATCACTGAGATCAGATTTTCCTTCAAAAAGGTATTCTAAAAATATCGATATTCAAGCACAGTTCGCATTTGAAAATTATTCTTCAAATATCCACGATTTTCTTTGAAAAAAATATTCTTTATAAATCAACGATTAATTCTTGAAAAATTAAACTTAAAATCCAAGCTTTTAGCACAGATTTTAATTTAGTACTGGAAAAATATTCTTAAAAAAATCTATGCTAAGTCCTCAGGTAGACCAAGAACTAATATTCTAAAAGACCTATGCTTTTTGGTCTGTTAGTAATTTAAAAAGATATTCTTTAAAAAATCCAAATCTTTATATCATCGATAGTCCTTCCAAAAATACTTTTAAAAATTCACACTTATTGATCGAATGGTTCTTTAAAAAATATATTATTGAAAATATTCAGGTTTATATCTTATACTGCCCTTAAACATATTCTTAAATAGTCCAAATTGGTGGTTGTGGTATTTTTTCAATATTCTTAAACAATTCTCACTTGTAGATCTGATTAAATTTATTGCTCTTATAAAAATTCTACTTAAAAATAGCAGGTCTTATGGTGTTTTAAACTATTTTCATAAAAATGTTTAAAGACTAAGATATATGAATTTTTCATAGGCTAGCATGACATTAAGCTAGTCTATGAAAAATTGAGATCTGTGAGTCTTTAAACATTTTTCTTAAAAAAATCATGTTCATTAGTCTGAGAGTGCAGCATAGTGTCTAGTTAAATTCGTTTGATTTTGATTCAAATTTTTGTTTGTTTTTCTTCTTTTTTTGTTTTCAATTTAAAAGGGAAGTTTCAAAATATACATAACATTAAATTACATCTTGGCAATTAAAAAAAAACATACATCAATTATACATCAATGTATTTGCATATATATTTTTGGGATTTTTGTTTTTGGCATTTTGTTTAATATTGTTTTTGTTGATACTGAAGTTTTTCATTGTATTTGCGAATAGATTTGATTTGTTTATTTTGAAAATGTTTATGTTTTCACTTTTTGTATGATTAATAAACAAAAAAGAGGAACGAACTAATTATAAATAATTAAATAAAAAGTAAATAAATACAAAGTATTTCAAACGAAAAGCAATGTAACCAAAATAAAATTGTAGGCTTTAAAAGGCAAAGTGTTATAACTAATAAGTGAACTAAAATATTTAACAATTTGTTGACGGCTTTAACAAAATAAACTTAGTAACAAAAATAATAATAACAAAGCTTAAAAAAGTCTACTTAAAAAAGGCTCCAATCTAATAAATTTATTTGTACTTTGCTTCTTGATTTTTGGGGGCAAAAACAACATGCTTTCGCAAAGAAACATGCAGAAATATAAACTCAAAATAAAATTTGAAATTGAAAAGGAGTTCGAGTTAAGTAAACTATATTTTTTCTCGAAAAAGGTAACAGCTTTAATTGGAAATTGTAGTGAACACTTACCCTTAGAGCAGATTTTAAAACCACAATATCACCGGAACATTGTACCCATGGTTCACCATCAACTTGCACGGGTAAATCTGAATATAAATGCATTTTTATGTGGCCACCCTAAGAAGGAAAAAAAGAAAAACATTTATTTAAAATAAGATGAAATATTTAAACATTCTGGGTAAACATGTCGTTCGGCCAGTCCGAACTTTTTATAGCTCCAGCCTTATGAGTTCTGAGGGTGTATATTCTTTGTTATTATAAAAAAATGTCTCATCAATTTTTGGTTTTAGAATCCAAGTTTCTTTGAACCAAATCCATTTCAGACAATTTGGAGTCGATTTGCAAAGGTTCATCCGCCCATCTGTCTAGCTGGCTGGTGCGCACGATCACTCTCGAAGAGTATAACCGATTTCATCCACACGTAGATTTAGTTAGAAGTTGGGAATTATCCACCACAAAATGAAGATGGAATCTATCAGTCCACTCCTTCTGACCCACAAAGTGTCAACATTATGGAAATCTGTAAATCCTATATCATTTGAATTGAGTACAAGCTTTGCACATCGTAATTCTTTCATTAGACCTCAATTATGACCTACTTTTCACATCGTACAACTTTTACCAAACCCGAAGACAGAATTCATTCATTTTTATACTCTTCACCACACTGTGGTACAGGGTATTATGTCATTGTGCATGTGTTTGTAACAGTCAAAAGGAATCGAGATAGACCCATGGTTCCTTTTGGGGATATGCATAGAATCACTTTCTGAGTCGATTTAAGCATGTCTGTCCGTCCGTCCGTCTGTCTGTCGATGTTAAATTGTAAACAAAGTACAGGTCGCATTTATAATCCGAATTGGATGAAATTTGGCATAGGTCACTTATTTGGCCCAAGGACGAACCCTATTGAATTTGGGAAAAATCGGTTCAGATTTAGATATAGCTCCCATATATATTTTTGTTAATAAAGTACAGGTCGCATTTATGATCCGATTTGGATGAAATTTGGCACAGCTCATTTATTTGGCCTATGGACGAAACCTATTGAAAATCGGTTCAGATTCAGATATAGCTCCCATATATATTTTCGTCCGATTTTATGTAAATGGTGCACCAAAGGCCCTATATATATTTCGATTTGCACGAAATTTGGCACAGCATAATGAATTAGGTCTGGAATGATGTGTGTTAAGTTTCCTGAAAATCGGTCCAGATGTAGATATACCTCCCATATATAGTTTTTTCCGATTTTATGTAAATGGTGCACCAAAGGCCCTATATATCTTCGGATTTGCACGAAATTTGACACAGCGTAATGAATTAGGTCTGAAATGATGGGTGTTAAGTTTACTGAAAATTGGTCTAGATTTAGATATAGCTCCCATATACATTTTCGTCCGTTTTTTTGTAAATGCTGCACCAAAGTCCCTCTATACCTTTCGATTTGCACGAAATTTTGCATGGGGTACTGAATTAAGTCTAGAATGATGTGATGAATGATCAACGGGTGTCCGATTGATATTTGCTTTAAATTGATTTACATATGGTCTGTTCCCGTACTACTCCGATAACACTTTTTTCCTTTATGATATCGAAGAAAATAGTAAAATCTAGTAGATTCTTGCAGTACGGGAACAGACCAATAATTTTGTCCCATTGTAAGAAGCAACTCTATATCTGAACAAATGAAAAAATTTAGTATATCTTGCAGAATGACATGTTTATGGATCCATCTGTTAGGATTCATCTATTGAATATACCCAAAGTGGTGAATGGTATCATATAGTCGGCCCCGTCCGACTTTACTTCTTTCCTTACTAGTATATTTTTTAAACCTTCCCTACAGGAATCAAAATTTGTAAATCCAATATCCTTTACTCACCTGGGCAATGCGATTTGCATAGCGTATACCCGACTGGATTTGTCCCAAATGCACAACACCCGTGACGCCAACAATTTCCAATAGGCCATCATAGTGATTTGGTGTTGAGAAACGATCATCCTTATCGGGACCCCAGGGATTGGCACCACTGCCCCAACTGCAATGCAAATTTAAAATATTATTTTTTTTTTTAATTCAAAAAATTTGAAAATTGTATTATCGACCCACCTTAATATATTCAATATAATAATACCCTCACATGGTGGCAGCTCAACTACCTTGCCATCAACCTCCAAATGCAATTCCTTTTGCAAATCCTTTGTACATTTGCGTCCGCCCATCATTTTGCGTAGACCCATCTTCACATAGACGCCCTTATTGTGTAGACGAGAATTAAATTTGAAGGGATTCTCCATACGGGCATTGTGAAAGTCCAGACAGAGATCGGCATCCAGACCAATGCCGAAGTAATTGTTCATGACAAAGATTTGGGTATTGTCTTCGTTTTTGGTACCCTCACATTCATCATCGCCGGCGCCTGTAATAATTTTTTTAAAAGAGGAAATAACATTTACAATTAAATAATTTGTTTTTTCTTTTTCAAATAGATTTTTAGTGAAAGAAATAAAGATATGTTACAGAAAAACAAAAAGTGTTAAAATATAAGAAAAGTAAAGTTTATGACAAAGTGTTTTTATACAAACTTTAATGGAGATTTAACAGATATTATGGACTTATTGAGGGTGGTGTTGGTTCTCCTAAATAATACAACAAAGGGGAAATCCAGCATGAAAAACTTCAAATACTTCGAATCAGGTATGAGGGGTTGGGTAGTTGTTGAGTTCCGACAAGTTGCCCGGGAATCCCAAATTGTGTATACCTTTTTACTCGGAAGGACCTCATATATGTTTCCTTTATAGAAACGAGTAATATAATAAAATGTACAAATAATAATACGAAAAGTACTAAACAGTACTAAACATTCCGATTTTTAGAAATCCGTATAACAATCGTTATAAAAATGTACTAAATAATCTTTAATCTTGTCCTTTTCTATGTGAATTCCTCTTGGTATGTAGGATAGATGTAAGGAGAAGGATTCTGGAATTTGTACTAATATGTAAAATATGAAGCATAAACATCGACTGAATTGGACTTCAGAATACCTAAAATTGGTACCCACAAAGGGACAGATGTAAGGAGAAGGATTCTGGAATTTGTACTAATATGTAAAATATGAAGCATAAACATCGACTGAATTGGACTTCAGAATACCTAAAATTGGTACCCACAAAAGGGACATTTCTTAATAGATTATATGTTTATGGAATTTTATCAGTTTTTTTTTCAGTTAACAGTAGCTTAGACCGTTCCATAATATTTGTCAATTTATATAACTGTATTATGTGTTATTATAAATAAACTATTTGCATGCATGTCACAAAAAATAATAGTAATAATATGTTCAGACATACATATGAATAATTGCATACTTAACAGCATCGTAATATTTATTATCTTTTTCTTTTGATTTAATTAAACAGGTGAGAGTGCATGAAAAAGTCTACAACTAATGCTGGGGATTTGGTCAGAAATATAAAGGATAGACATTGTAGAGGGTGACGTAGGGAATGATAGATACCAATCAAAGGCTCTGGCTTTAATATGGTAAAGCCCAAGCTGCCCTGGTCATGACATTAAAAATCTGCTAGAAGATTTCAATGCAAAAATCGGAAGGGAAATGGAAAATCCGGCCATTATGAAGAAATATCCGACAACGGAATGAGGTTGATTGACATCGAGGATGCAAAAAAACATGGTAGTTAGCAGCACCAGATTCAAGCATCTCGATATACACAAGACCACCGGGATTTCTTCCGATACACACAGCGTGTTGAGGATCTGGAAAGAACATTTTGCAAAGCTTCTGGTATCAAATAGTAACGGTGAAGAAGATACCGCAGAACCAATAAGAGATGACGGTATAGATTGTATACCACATAGCCAAGATGAGGTCAGAATAGAAATTAATCGGCTGAAGAATAATAAAGCAAGCAGGTGCCGATGGATTGCCAGCCGAACTATTCAAGGCCGGTGGTCAGACGCTGATCAGAGGCATGATTGGAACCACAGAATCCTGTGCACAAAAAAGGAGACATGACGATATGTGCCAACTATAGAGGAATTAGTCTCCTTCCCATCGCATATAAAGTGCTATCCAGCGTGCTGTGTGAACAACTGAAGCCTGGGGTCAATGGCATTATTGGACAATACCAATGAGACTTCAGCCCTGGCATATCCACCATAGAATAGATTTTCACACTGCGCAAAATCCTGGAAAAGACCTACGAAAAACACATTACACATATTTGTCGCATTCGACAGCCCTATCCTGCAAAATAAATATTGCTATACAGAATAACCAAGGTCAGCTGTTAATGTAGGAGAGGACCTCTTGGAGCCCTTTAATACCGAACGAGGATTCAGACATGGTGACAATTTGTCGTGTGATCTGTTTAATATCCTGCTGGAGAAGGATATGCAAATGTGATATATGCAAATGTGAACAGAAATGGCACTCTGTACACCAAACAGCATATGTTACTCGTCTATCGTATTTGAAAACTACATCTTAGAGGTGGTGAAGGTACCGCCATAAAGAAAACTACGAACATCAGCTTTGAAATCCGGAGGAGAATAGTGTTGGCCAACAGATGCTACTAGGGTCTGAGCAAGCAATTCAAAAACAAGCCTATCTCCCTACAGACCAAATTCACATACTACCGTACTGTTGTATGGATCTAAAGCATGGGTACTTTGGCAAGCAGATGAGGCAGCTCTTGGAGTGTTTGAGAGAAAAATGCACCGAATGATCTTTGGGCCGATCTGCGTCGACGGGTAATATCACCGTCGCATATAAAAGCAAGCCAAGTAGAAGACAACATTTTGGAACATGGTATTTTAAATTGATAGATCTGCGCACAAGGCCGACGCGCCTGCAAATCTTTTTTAAGTTCGGCTTATGGAACAAATGATCTGACACAAGCCAGCTAAGTAAGTAGACATTACAGAAGACATTCTGCCTCCAGAGAGCCCATAGAAAATATAAAAACCTCGTCCTTAGCGAAGAAAACTTGTGGGAAATCTGTAAACTCTATAAAAACCTCTTAAACGGAATTAATTTATTTATATATGCAATTGAAGGTTATATTTGTATACCCTGCCCCAATGTTATGGGTGCTACGCCATGGAAAATTGTGGCCAGAGAAAAACGGAATACAACACAGAAAGACTGTCAGGTTTGAAAATTGGGTTAGCAACTTGATCATAATGAAAAGCAGTGAGCGAAGCAATATAGTCGAAACTAGGGCCGTTATTGAAAATCTTTACCTGGTAAATTATCTACCCACTTTTGTGTGATAAATGACAAAATTTGTATTCTATAGCGTATATATTTACCCCTGAAGGACATAGACCCAAGAAGTTGATAGTATGTTCAAGAGGAGTGGTTGACCTTTAAATTAATACTAATTATATTGTTGTATGTGCTCGGATGTGGGAGTTACACCTAAATATTTACAGGTATCTCCGTATTAGTATATTATTTAGTAACCCATTATCACTCTAGAGAGCGGAACTATAGCGCTGATCGCTTTGAAATTTTCCATAAGGTTCCAGTTATGGTCAAGGACAACGCATATAATTTTCGACGATGATCAGATAATAATTTTGGAATGATGTGAACCGAAAATTTAATTTTTTGTGTTATTTTCGAGTCGATATATAGACCAAAATTAAAGCCGAAAGGGAATCTGGACAATAGCTGTATTGTACTCTAATCGGGCAAGATGATGCAAATATCACGAAATATTGTCCAAGCTCGGAATAAACATCCGCAGAACATTTGAGTCCGTGGTAGTTGTGTTGGGTATTGTATGGTCGGCCCCGTCCGACTATACTGCTCCGCTCACTGGTTTTACTTTTGTAAAAATCATTTAAAATTTCTTAAGCGAATTGGGAACGAACTATGATTAGTTTAAAAACTTATAATTGAAATACTATGGCCAAAGCGTTACATTTTTATGCCTCGCTACTGTTTACTAATTTATGGGGTCTCACTGGTGAATATGGAATGACAAAAATTAATATACACTCCACATTTCATCAATAAAATACACATGTATGCAATATATTCATATATAGGCATGTATAAAAGAAATTATATAAAACAAAAATGAAAAATAAGGCATGCAATATTTTTTAAATATTATGTTAAAAATAATATCAAATTATTATTGGAAAGCAAAACATCTATGATCACATCAAAACTAGCACAGCATTGTTCATCCATTAAATTTTGTTTTTTTATCATCTTCTTTGACCAATTACTTGTCATAGATTTTTTGTATTTTCTCTTTTTTTTAATTTTTCAGTTTGTTTCATTCATTGGTTTAGTTTACACAAAACATTTATGTCATTTACAACAACAACAAGAAATAATTATACAGAATGTTAAAAAGAAAAATATGGAGAGAGAGAGGGGAGGTTATAATGCAAATAATATCACATCATCATCACATGAAGAATGCTTCATTTTTTCAATAATTCTATTTACAATGTGTGATATATCTCCTCCTCTCTCACGGCAATTGACATATAGCAAGGCTTTCATTTAATTTTTTAATTAGAATTTCAATTACAACATTTATCAGTCTCTGTTCAGAGAGGACGGCATATCAAGGTCATTAGTGTTTAATATGGCGCACACACACACACAAACACACCACTTTTCGTGTGTTAAAACACAAAATTAAATTTCTTTCAAATCACATTGAATTCAAATCAAAATCCATATACAAATAAGTATTGTATAAAAAAATATGTAGTAGTTGTTTCAAAAAAATATGTACGATTTTGTATCTGGTTTTTGTAGATATTAATACAAAATTAAATATTTAACAAAAATATTGAATTGTTTTTTTAATTCGTACACATTTTTTTCTAATATTTGTTTTGTTTTTTTCTGATTTTGAAAGAATAATGTAGAGTAGACAAAACATAGAAAGATATATATAGAGAGTATATATACGAATATATATATATAGAGAGAGAGACAAAGAAAAATTTTGTGTAATCAAAAGACCTGATTTTTCACTCGATGTAATGGCCGGTTCTTGATGATGCTGATCTGTTTGTTGCGATAGATGTGCTTGATGAGCCTTCTTCTTCTTACCGGTTGTGTTCGTGGGAACCTTTAATATTTGTTCCTCGGGTTTCTCTTCCGGATGAAAGACAACAGTCCAACGATCTAAGCGTATATCTTCAGCTTCGATTACCTCACGCAAATAGCTAAGGGGATCTTGATCGCCTGTATAGCCGGAACCCCAACAGAGGACACGGGCCAAATCGTTGCCTAGATTTTGGAAAAAAATTAAAATTTTATTTCTATTCATATTTGGGTTTAGAAAGATTGTTTACTTACCAGTTCCTAGCGGTAGAATGGCACAGGGTGGACTTGAACATTCCGAATCTTGTCCCACATTATCTAGACATTGTAGAACCCAACCAACGGTACCATCACCGCCACAAACCAAGATCTTATAATGCGGTATGTGACGGAAAACGTATAATCTGAAAATTGCGAATAAAGATTTAGTATTAATAATTTATGGAAGGTGTATCTAGAATATATAATTTGTATATAAATGTCTCATCAAGGAGGAGTTCTGCAACTATGAAATCTCTTGGTGGAATTCCATCTATGAATATTTGCAATAGATCGCATAACAACTCTTCTATTAATAGACGAAAAAGAGAAATTTAAGAAGCGGGTATATTATTCGGGTCGATAAAGTGATAATAAATCGCCATTTTTGAAGTCAAATGTGCTACCGCCCACAACAACAACCTTCAGCGCCAGACATCACCAGATGACCCAAGAATACCAGATCTGACGATACAGATAAATAATCTAGTAAACCAGCATCGCATAGAGATTTGGATGAGGCATCTTGATAATTGTGAAGGTGGTTCACACAATCTATGGGCTGCAATTAAGAGTCTCACGGGAGCCAAAACAAATGGAGGAAATGTAGCTGTAAGTTTCGATGATACCATTGTATCGGATGCCAAAAGATGCGCGCTTAAATTCTGCCAGCAATTCGTCGAACATCCAGCAGAGCAGAATAAGAGCAAAAGAGCAGTACCCAGGAGAGCGAAAAACTTGCAAAAGGAAGTTCTCGTACAATTCACGCCAGAGGACATTAGCGCCAACATCCAAAAGGCTAAACCATCTAAAACCTTAGGGCCTGACGGCAACTCGATGGTCATGCTCAAGCATGTCGGCCCAGAAACAAAGTGTTATTTTGCACACATCCTGACTCTTTCCGTCAACCAGTCAGTGATACCGGAGGTTTGGAAGAAGGCGAGAATTATCCCGTTGCCAAAACCGGACAAATCGGCTAGTCGGGGAGATTCATATCAACCTATCTCCCTTCTGTCGCCACTAGCGAAGATTTTGGAGTCCCTCCTGCTGCCATCCATGACGGAGAACCTAAAGCTGGAACAACATCAACATGGCTTCAGGAAATCACACAGTACCACCACAGCTCTCACAGATGTCGTTAATCATATTGTCAATGGCCTCAACAAGACAAGACCTGCCGAGCGGACAATTCATGTGGTATTGAATCTGTCCAAGGCGTTCGATACAGTCGACCATGCCATCTTGGTTAACGACATCTTGCAGTAACTATATATAACTATATAAACGCCAGGCAGGCATATGTTGAGTTCAGGGGACAGAAATCGAAAAGCCGCAAAATAAAAATGGGTGTCCCGCAAGGAGGTGTTATCTCGCCCTTGCTATTCAACTTTAACATTTCTAAATTCCCCTCCCCTCTAGATGGTATTAAACGTAACGTATGCTGACGACTGTTCGATCTTTGCCTCTGGACTAGATGTATTAAAGATCGATGACAAAATCAACACTAAATCAACTTGTAGATTTCCCCATCTAAATCAACTGTCACTATATACACATCGTGGACTAAGGCGGTACAGCGGCAACTAAACATATCGATCAGTGGCAGGACAATTCCAACGGTCCAGAATCCTAGAATACTATGTGTCACCTTCGATAGCCTCCTGACGTTCTTCAGACACGCCGCAACGCTGAAAATAAAAGTCCAGAAGCGAAACAAGGTGCTCAAAGCCATCTCGGGTACAACATGGGGTAAGGACAAGGAGCTGCTTCTAACCACTTACAAAGCTGTAAGTAGATATGCCCTTAACTAAGCTGCCCCAGTTTGGACTTCGTTCATCAGCGATTCGCAATGGAGAATGCTTTAAACCACCCAGAATAATGGCCTACGTACCGCAGCCGGATGTATCAACATGACGAGTGTGGATCATTTGCTGCAACATAATGTGTTGCTCATTAGACAGTTCCTGGATGCCATCTGCCCACACATCCCAGCCACCATATAGTGGTTAAGGATCAGGATCAACAGTAGACACATTTTCAAATAAAAAACTAACATCATTTCAGGGAAAAGGAGACAGCCAAACTGTTACAACAACAAGAACAGGCATTGCCACATTTTAATTTACTGATTCATCACCTTTGAAGGGTGAACCATTCACTTGCACAATTTGTCCGATTCACTTCGACCAGTTTTGTTTTAATACTCTTACTTGGAGTGAGAATCGAAGTGTTTCCCTCTACAGAAACTCCATTAAATGCCTCCTACCTATCTGAGACGTTTCCACGATAGAGGGGTCTACGATCCAAAACGACCCGAGTCTTACTCGGCCAACGTCTGTCACCTCAGCCCATTGTGTAAAAGCAATAGGGCTGCTACAACAACAACAACCTATCTGAGACAATATTTTCAAAAAAAAAAAGAAATCAATACTTACCCCGGTAACGGTCCACCATTTTCCAAATTAAATACTTGAAATGGATTCAGCAATTTTCTAAAGTTCGATATTAACTCTAGACCTTGGCAACCGCCTGACTTAACATTTACAAAGACTAGCAGAGGATTTATGTCGGGTGGCACCATACTCGGTTCAATGTTCGGCAAAAGCATTACCAACAAATCTTTGCCATCCCAGCGTACTTCACGCAAAATATAGAAAGCTCGTACCTATACGAACAAGAATAGAAATTACTATTTAAATCTTTCAATGTATATCACATTTACTTACCGCCTTCTGGGCATCCTCATAGGTTAATACCACCGAACCATATTCATAATAGATTGGACCAATACTTGTAAATTTACTATCTTCCGTTAGATATTTATTAAGGAAATCTTCATATTTCCTTTGAGATTTTCCCGGATCTAAATTGCCGACAAACAAGGCAATATTAGGACCGTGGGGATCTTGTCGGTGTTGCAAATAGAAACGCATCAATTCCATTTGACGTATTGAATCTTTGCCCATTTGTTTCATAATATTCCATGGGCGTTCGTTCCATGATAAAATGCGTTCGGTAACACCACTATCTAATAATACTTGGGAACATCTGCAATATGAAGGATGGAGGGGTATTAGATATTGATATCATATTACTTTAGATATTTTTTTGAGGGACCCACCTGTAATCATCGATTGGATTATCTTGTAAACCAAAACGATCTAGAGCATCACGTATCAAATCCTTAATAGTGGTCGTAGAATCGACAGGAACACTAACATATGGCTCTTCCAACGAGCACTGCAATTTACCCGGATAAACGCGAACAAAACCATTGTCCTTGTCTTGAAACCGAAGAAATATAGCTGGTCGTTTACCCTCCATGTGATTTAGGCTTAATACAGGATTTGGATCTTGCAAAGCGGCATCTTCCATGCCAACGGGAGCATATAAATCGGTTAAATAAAATGCCTGAAAAAAGAGACAAGATTAGAAATTAATTATCAAAAATGTTCAAAAGATATAAAATAATCGAATTACAAAAATTATTGGTATCTTCAATGAGGAAACTTAGTTGAAGAAAATCCAACATTTTATGTATCTGTACAAAACTTACACTGGGATCACGTGATATATGAAATGCTCGCAATGCTGTTGTTAACAATTGTTCCAAGGTATATGTACGAGGTACCGTTATAACGCGATATAGCTGTCGCCTAAATGAATTGTTGCCATCAAAGACCTTGATTGCTTCTAAAAATGATAAAAAACAACATTTAATTTTAATAGTTAATATATTTTATAAAATCTCCCTTCCTCACCTATATCCTTCTCTTCACGTTCCCTTTCCTTCTTCTCTTTTTCTTTGTCCGATTTATCAGATTTATGACCCGATGCTGATTCGGGCCGATAATGTGAAGATGAACCACCACTGCTGCAGCCAGCTGCACTGCCGCCCGCCACAACAGACATTGCCTCATTTTTGTCCACCGATTCTTCATCTTTGAAGCGTGGAGCATCACCACTACTGAACTCTTCCGATATACTTCGAGCTGTTTGTTTAGAGAGGTGGGAAGATTATAAAAATATATTAATATAAATTACAATATTTTATTGAATACTTTAAAATACAAATATTTTATTATTTAAATATAAAATGTTAATGATTTTGTTTATAATAATTAATATTAAAAAATCCAATTCGATCAAGGGTTAGCATAAAAATCATTCACTTGTTAGAAATTTTTACACAACTACAGAAAGATAACATACGACCAGGTATTTTAAATTCCTAAAATTTTAATTTTCAACAATTGCAGGAATTAATATTAAAATAATTCAAAATAAGTTTCGATAACGAAAATGTCGTTTATTCATCCGGGTTGAAAATTCAATATGCCTAAAATCGATTGGGACTTTTAAATCGGGGCTATGATTTTACTGACAGCAGACAACTAACAAAAACGCAGGTTTGCAAATAATAATTTTTAATTGAGATTGCAATCCAAAGATAACTAAAAATATCCAATTAGATTGGAACTATGCCTGAACCAATAGTGGACATTTTTAGTAGGAACCAACTAAATATATTAAACTAGAGCCATGTTACGTGTCTGAAACCCTAAAATTTATGAATATTGGAGGGTAATCATATAGGTCTGGGTATCAATATAGGCCTGCGTTTTTGTAAAGGATAACAAAAACGCAGGCTTATATTTATAATTTTCGATAGGTAATGAGAGCCCAATTGAAAATGTATCTGATAATCCGAAAATACAAAATTTTAGGTATCGTTTTATGTAAATCAAAACGTGAGCCGATACAATATCAAAAATCGTATGAAAAGTATAAATAATTGTGCAAAATTTCCTAGCTCTATCTTAAATATTGCGAGCTCTATCATGATTTCGATAGACATACGGATGTGACTAAATCGACAAAATTGTTTATTGCGATCAAGAGTATTTCAAGGTGTTGCAAAGAGGACAATTACATATTTTAATAATATTGCCCATTTCAAGGTCTAAAAGTATTTTGTAGATGAGTGACCCCCAAATATATTCGATATATACTTGATCTATAAGATAACTTTAATAGGCCTTCTTTACATATCGCCAATGGGTAGAATAACCTCAAAATTCTCTCTTACATGTATATAATTAACAAAAAAATCTCAAACGGTTTCTATGGGAGACCCTTAAACTATAATAGATTATAAATTAATTCTAGGTAAACTTGGTCCTAAGATATTCGCTAGTCCTTCTACTGGTCTTCCCCAATGTATAAAACTCCATTGATTTTAGGGACAGTTATGAAAAATATTTCTATACAAAAATATTCTCATAATTTTGATATCAATAAAGACCCAGTTTGAACGATACCTAAAGGTAAAGGATGAAGAGGCTGAACAGAAATGCCTAAAATAACAAATTCTAGACGTAGAAATATTGTGAGAAGTTTTAACACTTTACCAGATCTCTTGAAAGAATTTATAAGTCAGTTTTTCTCTTTATACCCTCAGTCGTATGGCTAATAAGGGTTTATACACTTTGGTACGGTGAAAATGAGCCTCATCGAAATATTGGTGTTAGACCCTGAGCTTCTTTGGACCAGATCAGTTTCTGAAAATTTGAAGTCAGTCTGTCTGTCTGGCTGGCTGGTGCGCACGATAACTCTCTAAGGGAATAATCGATTTCAACCATCTTTGCACATCTTATTATTTCTTCCAAACTTAGTTCAAGTTCGAAGATGGGGAATATCAGTCCACCCCTTTTGGTACCTCCCCCACAAAATGGTCAAAATTGTACTAAAAAATATTTTAATAATAAAATGCAAACGAGATGGGACCCATTGGTTCACTCCTTCTAGTAACATTCGCACTTCTGGTTCTTAAATATTTCTAAAACTATGTGTTCGCTGTTCTTGAAACAAATAAAAAATATTTTTGAAACTCTGAATCTTAAAAAAAAATTACACTAAAAGGACTCGGCGGTTTTTAAAATTTAAAAATATTCCGGAAAATATACGCCTTAAAAAATATGACTCCTGAAAATCTTCGCCTTGAAAAATATTCGTATGCTAATTACAATGCCTAAAATATTATTCTGTTCTTATTAAAATTTCACGCTTTTAAACATATATTGTTTAAAAAGTATTCTAAAAAAATCTACTCTTATGAGCCTTTTAATTCTTAAAAAGACAGTCCCGAACAAAAAAAAATATCCTTTAAAATGTTGGCCTTAAAATATATTCCTTCAAATTCTGGAGTAATCTTCGAAAAAATATTCTTAAAAATCTAAACGGAAAAAATATCCTTATGGGAAAATATTGTATTCCTCTTAAAAAACTACGTGTAAGGAATTACAACCTTCAAATGTTATGCTTAACAATTCGTAAAAAATCAGACTAAACAGCCCTCGAAAAATTATTCCTGAAAGTGTAAACCTCAAAAAAACGATTTTGAAAATTTTCCCGCAATAAAATATTTCAAAAACAGTTTCCTCAACAAAATCTCCCAGAAAATATTCACCCCAATAAAATATTCTTAAAAATCTAAACCTTGAAAAAATTTTCTTATAAACTTGATATATATATTATATTCTTACTCAAAAATCTACACATTGCAAATTATATCTCTTCAAAAATATTTCCTTAAACATTTTTTTTCATAGGCTTTATAATCCTTGGGAAATTGTTCTCATTAAAATATCTACGCATTATGACTCGAGAAAAAATGTCCTCAAACAATTTTGCCTCCAAAAAATATTTCTTAAAATCCACGCTTCGATGTAATATTCTTAAAAATCTACATCATGACAAATATCCTTCAGGACTTTATAATGCTCGAAAATATTCTTCTTAAAAATATACTCCTCCAAAAATATTGAACATTTATTTTTAAGACGATACAGTCATCGAATAATATTCCTAAAAAACTAGGCCACGAAAAAATATTCCAGAAAATGTCAAATAAATATTTAAAAAATAGTCTCCCCAAAAAATCTCCCAATAAAATATAATATACGCCTTGAACAAATTTTAGTATGCACTTTATGACTTCCTTAAAAAATATTCTTAAAAATCTATTCTCACAGTCTTCAAAGTAATATTCTTAAAAATGTACATCACAACAAATATCCCTCAGGACTTTCAGAAAATAGTCTAATCTTCTTAAAATTCCACTCCTCAAAAAATATTGAAAATGTATTTTTATGAAATATAATTCCTGAAAAACTAGGTTGGAAAACTAGGCCCCGATAAAATGTTCTTAAAATTATACGCATTTTACGCCTTTACGCATCAAAACAATATTTCTAACATCTTGCCAGGAAAATTATTCCCTAAAATCTTCTCACCGATAAAAAAATCCTAAAAATCGACAACTCGACGAAAAAAGCAAATATAGCAAATATAATCCTTCAACTATACGCTTCAGACCATAAAGTCGTCGAACAAAATAAAAAATAAATTTATCCATTTTTTAGGCCCAATAGTCATGGAATCCATATTTTGAAAAATTCAAACGTGTTAGCCTAATAGTGTTTAAAAATATTATCATTTCTCTGATAGTCTTTAAAAATATTAGGTTGAGAAAAAATAAATCCAATATTTTATATGAACTATAGGACTTTATTTAACTTGCTTCGGTATGTCCGATTTGGACCAAATATGCACCGTTTTGTTGTTTAAAATAGTTTTATGGTCGATTTTTAGCTCCTGGGCGATGTTACGACTGGTAATAACTTCGATCATTTCTCCGATTTTATCGACATTTTCGACGACGAAAATAATCGATTTATTTTTCCCCAACCTAATATTTATAAAAACCCAAAGTATATTCATATAGTGAAAAAAGCTGATCCTAGGAAAATATTCTGGAAAAAATACACTATTATTGACCCGTTTGTTATTGGAAAAATAACATTAAAAATTCAAACTTATTACCCTGCTAGTCCCTGTGTAAATATAAATTTTTAAAATAGTTTTTCAAAAAATCTTTAAATCTTTGGTAGGCTGATGATCCCACCCATTTTTAAATTTAAATAGTGTTGTTAATCACATGCATTCGAAATAAGTATTATTTTGTTTGGTTTTGTTTATGTTTTAGTCTAATTACCTAAACACACATTGAAATCATGCTTTTTTCAGTTGTTGTTTTAGTTTTTTTTTTCTTGTTGGTGTTAGTGTAAACATTTAGCAAACAAAAGAATTGAAACACATTCAACACTCAATGAATTTTTGATTAGTAGTCGATTTTTAGGATATGAATTTGTTGTTATTTTTTTGGTTAGTAAGTGGGGGCGACAGACAGACAGAGAATAGAGATGGAACGATATGATTTGTGTTAAGTTTTACGAAGTGTTTGTTGAATGGATCAGAACAGAAAAAAAACTAATTATACGGTGAGTGCCAAAACATGGTTATCGACAATGAATGATTTTATTAGCTGCTGATTTTTTTTGTTTTTAAACAAAAACTAAATAAATTACAAAAATAAAAATAAAACAAAAATATTCAAACAAAACGAAAATAGTAATACAAATTTCAAAACGAAAAATTCAGGGACAAAATACAAAAAACAAATGCGGTTAATCAATGGGGAAAAACGTAATAATACATTTTTTTAATTTTTGTTTATTTACTTTACAAAAACAAAAACCAATTTTTTTAAACCAACAAAATATTACAAAATTAAAAAAAAGAAAATTATAAAAAATGTGGAAGAAGAAAATCAAATCACCTCTGCGTTTGTGATAACGTGGTTTACGCCAACCCATCGAAAATCGGCGCATACGTTTCAGCAGTTTACCGAACACATGTTCATTATCACTTAGCCGGGAACGGCTGCGGCTACTGGCACCATCACTGATATCACCGCCATCATCACTGTGAACACCACCACCATATAATCCTGAATGGTGATGGTGATAGGGTCCCAAACGGCTACCCAACAATTGGGAATACTCTTTGAGAATTTCCTCATCATCATCTTCATCAGCATCGACCAGATGATCATCACTACGATGGCGATCGTAGGTATCAAAATTATCATCATATGGCTGATAGTTACCATCCTCATCCTGTATGGTAATTTCAATATTCTGATACATGGTATCAAGGCTATAATTGCTGTGGACATTTTTTCCCTCCACTTTTCCACCACCGGCGCCCGATGAGTTATTGTTGCGTTTCGATCGTCTTCGTTGAAAAAAACGGGCATATTTCTTGTAACGACCACCAGGACTTTGGGCATGCAACTTCACACCGGGTTCCTGAAATGATTTACTCCGACCCACCGGTGACAGGGGATGGGGCGCCGTTGCCGGATGTGGTGGTATCGGTGAGGCGGATGAACAGTCACTGGAATTCGGCGAACTGAGTGCCGGATGACGATGTTGACCCCTACCGGGGGCCGGTATAGGCTTGGCTGCAGTCTTTTGTTTCGTACTCTCAAACGCACCTAAGGCAGTGTTGGCTGTGCTGCGCTTGGGCCTACTCGGTGTGCCCGGTGTAAAGCCCATCGCCGCGGACAGCTGGAGATTGTGCGCATTTCTATGTCTATTTAAACTAATACGTTTCTCTATGGAGGTATTACTATTACTACTGTTACAACTTAAATTGCTAAGCAGATTCATGCTCGAATCAATATCAATATCATCGGTATTGGTCAGTTCGCCGCCCGTGTCGGAGGTTTCATAGAAACCTTCGTGGTGCGTTGATTCGCCTTCGATATCACCATGATATTCAATATCACTGCCCGTACCGGTGCCGGGTGTCAGCTGTTGGCCACCACGGCCGCTGCTCTCATCGCTTAATACTTCGTTTGATTTCGGCTCACGTAATCGGCGTTGGCTGTTGGGATCGGCATCTGACGGGTCGTAATCATCACTGATATCACCACCACTGACATCACACACCCCACCATCTACCTCATCATCATCGGTGTTGGAGGAGAGATGTTTGCGACCACTTCTGCCTCCACCTCCTCCCCCGCCAGGATATGGTATCTTATTTACTATATTAGTATAAAATAAATGCAACGATGATGATGTCGATGGAGATTTTTCAATATTCTTTTGAGAGCGTTTATTTCGATTCCCTTTCGAGACCACTTTTTGATTAACTGCTAACAGATCTTTAATATTCTCATTTGCATTTGTTTGCTGCTGCTGCTCCTCCTCCTCTACACGTTGTGTACCATTTTCCGCACAATTTTCCGCATCTTCATCATTGATTCCCTCCACCGCAATCTGTGTCAGAGTCGAACTTTCATCGGCTATCGTGGGTATCGGCGATGGCGCATACGATGACGAGGGTGAAGAGGAAAGAAAAAAATTTTGTTTTGATTGTTCTAAACGTTGTCTTTGCAATAATAAAAGCTCTTTTAGGGTTAAAGCATTGCCGCCACTACAACTCATGGACGACGAAGTTGCCACGACATTTCCGATTACATTTTCATCTGCTGTAATCGATGAAGTAACATCAGCAGCAGCTGCTGCAGCTAATTCAGCACATTCAACATCGTCGTTATTATAACCTTCTAGGCGGATACACATTACATTTACATATTTTTTGTTTGTTTTTTATTTAGGGATGAATTAGAAGAAGTCGGGATGTTTTTTTTTTTGGAAAGCAAAATAATGTAAAGTAAATAAAAATATGTATAAAAAAAACAAAAACAAAAAATGTTTTATAAAAAAAAGAATATAAAAATATTTATAAGCATTAAAAATTAATACTATATAAAATAATGTTTAAAAGGATCGTTAAGGAGACACCATTTGAATGCAGATCCAACTTTATAAGGGGGTCAATAGAAAAAGAATAGTTCTTAATGATTATAGGGTACCAAACGTCTACCCAACATCTGAAAATAATCTTTATCATCTTTGTTGACAACGACCAGATGGTCATCACTACGATGTCGATCGAAGGTGTCATAATTGCCATAATATGGCTAATAGTTACCATCCTAATCATGTATGGTAATTTCAATATTTTCATACTTGGTATCAAGGCTATAATTGCTGTGCATATTTTATGGACCATTTTATTATAAACCCCTATTATAGTCTTAAAAATATCTCCAGGAAAACCCCCTTTAAAAACGACCTCCTGGTCTTCGATTAATAAAAATATATCCTAACATCTGGTCTTCTATAGAAAAGGCCTTGTGGTCTTTTACAAGTAATATTTTGAGCTATACTATAATAAAAAAAACTTTCAGATTTTCTATTTCTACCGGACAGTCCGGTACTTTAAAGGTATATTTTCTGTTACTCTATATCCTCTATCTTCCAGTCTTCTATGATAGTACAGGTCTTCTTTAAAATATATTATGCATTCTTCAATAAGAAGAACTGATGCCTTCTAGATAAAGATTTTCTTATTTTTGTATAAAAACACTATCCTCTGATTGGAGCTTATAGTCAATTATATGCATATTGTGTCCGGAAAAAAAGTGTAGACAATAATGGCTTATTATATAGAGGTTATGCCATAAAAAGGCAAGGACTAAAGAGGAGTTTAGTTTTTAGACAGTCTAAACTGGAGAGCAGGAGTAAAACTGTTCGTTTTTGAAATTCAGAACAGCTGATTTTATAATCTGGGAAAATATTGAATGTTGCGTATTTAAAAATATCTTCGGTCATAATATGGTGATCATATAGGGAAATTAGGTCTTCTAATGTGTCCTTTGAAGGTTCATAAAAACTCGTTAATATATTAAACTATCTTGACATTTGTATACCCTCCATCACAAGGTATATTCAAATTGTCATTCCATTGGCAACACGTCGAAATATTTCCCGCAAAGTACATATATTCTTCATCAAAATAAAATTATATATCGGTTTATGCGTGTCCGTCTGTTTGTTGAAATCACGATAGAGATCGCATAATTTAAGATAGAGCTCTGAAATTTTGCACAGACATTGCTAGTACTCGTAGGATGTAGGTCCACCAATATAATACGGTAACCCCAAATGTTCGGTATTTTGATGCTTTTGGACACGTTTCCCAACCGAACTAGCTTTAATTTGGTATTTTGGGTTCTTATGGTATAGCACATCTTTGTGCCAAAATTATTAATATTGACCTAAGTTTCAGGGTAACCCCGATATAAAGGTATTCTCCAATACTCGGTATTTTTATGATTATGAACACGTTTTCCAACCGAATTAGCTGTAATTTTGTCATTTTAGGTTGTTATGGTATAGCACATCTTTGTGCCAAAAATTATTAATACTGACCTACGTTTCAGGGTAGCCTCCTTATAACGGAAACCCCAATATTCGGTATTTTGGGGATTTTGGACACTGAACTGGCTGTAATTTAGTATTTTGGGTTCTCATTGAATAACACATATCCGTACCAAAAATGATTAATATTGGCCCAAAATTCTTCAATATACATCCATATGTCCTCTCTGAAATATATGGAACTTTGTCGATATTGTAATGGTCGCTCGGGATTTTCTACAGCTCTTTTTGAGGTGTTAAATTTAATAATATTTCGAAACACTTGTCGAGACCTTTTGAAGTGTATGTATTGTTGGTCAGAATAAAATTCTAAATAGATTTATTCATGTTCGTCTGAGTCACGATAAATATTGAAATATTTGGACATACATTGTCCGTCTAAAAGGGCGTATATGCCGCATATAACAATATGACCCTATTTCCCATTTTTTAAGGTTTTGCCTAAAGTGTCTGAAATTAGAAATTCCGGTTTTTGAGGTTAAAAATATGTTTACAGACAATTCGGTAATGAAGGTGCAGTTTTTCTTTGAACTGTCCCCCATATAATGTTTTCGGTATGTTGAAGATTTTATGCCAATTTTCATTGTATATAATAACTGCATAATTATCTGGGTATTCAATTTCCTGATATTCCAAAATAAAGGGTAAATACAAATTTTAGATAGCTTGAAGGCGCACCTCATGATGGGGGTTATGAAAAGTTCAGTACTTTATTATTTGTGTTTGTTCTCTCTGGTGATGGATATAAAAAATTCCCTGATGGCCGGAAAGATGTAGGGCGTTTGGTGCGACATTTGCATATAATCAGACGAAAAATATATGGGACACATAGCTTAACCATAACCGATTTAAATCACCCAATTATGTACGCTGTGCTAAACTTCGCGTCAATCGGTACTACGAGTGTTTGGTACGCCATTTACATGAAATCGGGCGAAAGTGAATGAATAAATCGGAACCGATAGGGTTCGTCTTTGGACAAAATAAATGAACTGTACTAAATTTTATTCAGTTCGGATCATAAATTCAACCTTTGTTTACAATACTACCTGTACATATAGAGGGGTATTGTATGTACATGCTCAAAAGTGTCTTCGAGTCTATCAAGTTTCCTTTTGCATATATCGCAGTGTGGTGAAGAATATATTTTCGAGTATAAGTAGAACGGTCCGCTTGCAAAATGGCATCAGCAGACTTTCAGAGGTGTGTAAATTCCTCTAGTAGTTGCTGAACAGTTATCTTTAAAATATCTCTATAAATGACATGCCGTTCGAAATTAACGATAAGAAGGAGATCCCGCACTGATAAGACTTATTTGCCTCTTACTAAACTCTTAGTTTCTCTTGGTTTTAGGCCTACCCTTTAGTATACCGACCGACATATCTCGATTAGCTGAGTCGACCATTATAATTTTTAAACAAACCACAGTCTTATCAGTGGTTTGGAGATTAAATTTATTCAGTAAAATTGAATATGAAATTTCTTTGTAGAACATTTCGTCCTTCTAACTCGATTTATTGTATGTCCCTTTCGCCCTTAATTTATTACACCGTAGTTCAATTATCACAAGATATAATTTTTTCATCCTCGCAATGTTCTATAAAAATGTTGCTCATAAGATTTTAGGTGGCGTCCTAAAGCAGGAGAAATCGGCATTTTAAAGTTTAATTTGTATTTTCTCAATTTTACCCGTGTCATTTCACTAAAATCCTATATGTATGTATTTCAATATATTCAGTAAAATTCTTTATTACGAAGAACTGTCGGATTCGTCCGAATTATTTTCTAAAAACATGTCTAGTTAGGCCAATAAGCCACAAAAACTAATTTCGAGGAAGAAAGAACCGGATATTCAGATAATAAAAGCGGAGATTAGAAAGCAAATAAACAAACGCGCTTAATTATCTGAATATCCGGTTCAAAAAAATGGGCCAACATATTTGTTGTGAAAAGTAGTAGCATTTGGTAGTTATGTAGGATACCCTATGGACGCACTCCTCAACGCACTGGTTTTGATCAGCCTACTGGTTATGATTGTTTTCTGTATACATTTATAGGTCCTGACCTATTTTTTTGTTAACTGCATTCAAATGGTTTACTTTCAAATAAGGGTCTCATATTTAAAAAAATGCAATAAAAATAATAAAATAATTTTTGTTTTCAAAAATATAGTCGAATAAATATAAAAATAATACAAATAAAAAATAATTAAAAAAAATGTAAAGCAAACTGAATTTCGAATATTTTGCTGCTGCATATGGATGTATGTAGGTATGTGGTGTGCTGGTAATGGATGATTTTTTAATTATTATTACTTTTTGCTGACTTGTTGTGTGGAGAACTCAATATTGTAATGGAATGAATATTTGCATGAAAGTGTACGTTTTTTATTTAAAGAAAAAAAAATTAAATAAAAATGTCGTTGTAGTTGTTGTTTTTGTTGATGGTTGCAAAATGATTGTTTTCATGGAAGTGAAAATGCAATGGAAATGAAAAAATGTGAATTTTTCAGCAATGGAATTTTATAGATGACATTTTTTGTTTTTTTTTTGGTTTTTTGAAAAAAGTATATGGGGAAAGATATACAACAACGAAAACAACAAACATAAATACACACATACTTGCGCTCACACGCACACACATACACCTAGTTACATAGAATACAAAATAAGTAGAGATAGACATGGCGCACAACAACTACTTGTCAAGCTGTCAAACTTCAATCCATTATCGATCGATTGAATCGAATGAATTGAGGAAATGTTGTTGGGGATATGTCAATTTGAGGTGTCAACGCGATGCGATGATGAATGAATTTAAATGGAATCGGGGTTTTTTTTTGCGAGGGATTTCATGAATGAAATGAAAAACAACAAAGGAATTTAAATGCAAAGTTCTATTTTTCCAATTTTTTTGCACCATATACAAAATTATTACAACATCTTTTGAGTTTACATTTATGGGCATCGTTTTTTTTTTTTTTTTTGCAGTGGCATTTTTTTTAAATTTTTAAATTGATTTGTAATGTTTTGCTGTGTACTTACGGCATGAATAGTCGCGAACTAAATTCGATTCGGATTCGGTTTTTCGAACACCCATTATTTCTTTAATTGGCACCTCGGTACGCGGTATTGAAACACAATGCGGAGGTAAATAGATCGGTTGTAAACAACCGAATGTACATTCGGTTGGCAGGTACATGCGACATCCAGCGTGTGTGACCAGACCACACCATTCGCAGCGATAGCCTGTAAAAAGAAGAAATAAATTTAGAATAAAATCCATAATAAAGATAATCACATTATTAAATCTTTTGACCTTCGAAGTTCGACAATTTATGTAGGTCAGTAATTAAGGCTATACTAAACAAGAACATCAAAATTACAGCCGATTCAATTCCGGTCATGGCAAAATATTTTTAAAAGATCTTGGAGAAGCATTGGCATTTTTAAAAGATAAGATGTGGCCATCTATCGGGATGTACCAGGAGAGGTTGCCCTATAGATCCCATCGGATTTAATGTAGGTTAAAGTTTCGATGAGATTTACAAATTTTAAAATATTGAACTTTGTGGGGAGGTACTAGAAGGAGTGGACCGACAAATCCCATCTCATATGATTAAAATATTAGGTTGAACAAAGTTTAGTTCAAATCGGAGAGTCCGTTCGCATGATATTATAAAAATTAATTTTTAGCACAATTTTACAATTTCGTGGAGGAGGCACTAGAAGGATTGGACCGATATTCCCCATCTTCGAACTAGAACTAAGTTTGGTAGAAATATTACGATGGACAAAGTTTCGATAAAATAGGATATTCCGTTCGTTTCATAAAAGATTTACAAATTTTTCAAATGTTGACCCTTTATGGGGGAGGTATTAGAACGAGTGGACCGCTCTCCCAACCGTATATAGGCATGATTAAAATAAAAAGAGGTTCAATGTTTAGTTCGCATGATTTTATACAATTAATATTCAGCAAATTTTTCACCATTTTGTGTGGGAAGTACCAGAAGTAGTGGACCAATATTCCCCATCTTCAAAATCGTGTGCACTAGCCGATCAGACAGTCAGACAGACTTCAAATTGTCTAAGATGGATTTGGTCTAAAGAAACATGGGGTCTAAAGTTAATATTTCTATGAGGTACAATTTTCGTATTAAAGTGTATATACCCTCATTAGCCATAAGGCTGAGTTTATAAAAATCTACCCTTTTAGTTTAGCTCATTAGCTGAGCTATAAAAATCAACTCTTTTAGTCAATGGGGAAGTTTTTTTTTTAAATCAACTTGAATTGTCCTAAGAAAAATTATTCTTAACAAGTGAAAAAATCTTTCAATTCCGCCGGACCGATAATTTTATGATGGACAATCAAAATACCTAGCAGCAATTTACCATGTCATTGGAGTAAATTGTTGCTACAGTAATTTTTTATCCACTGAGGGAATGAAATAACAAACTGCAGACTCAGATTAAAAATTTGGCTAGGGCCCTTAACGGACAGTTACTTTGAAAAAATATTAATTACAAAATCCACACTGAGAAAAAATATTCCTAACCGACGAGTCTGCCTTTATGCGTTAAATACGTTGTTATATAGATATATTTATTAAAATCTGTATTCTAACTGTAAATATCCGTTGAGAGAAGTCTTATGTCCATGCGGAAAATCTCAACTACTCTTGAAGGTATAGCCGATTTATTATGTCAACATCCAACGACGGCATGAGTGATTCTCAAACTTTAAACTCGATTTTTAAAAACAAAGACGTTTTTACGAATCGCGGCACTATAACTCAAAGACTAATAATCCAATCCGCTTCAAATTTTAAGACGTTATTCTGGATCTAAGTTGCTGTCGTATGAACAGTGGTAAATGTAAACGGTCAATATCTTCCTACTTTTCAGTTTGGTTTTTGGCCGAAAGTGGGTAATTTTCCAAACATTAATTTTCCTAGGTCTGCCATTTTGCTAATTTTCGAGTGAAGTCGCTCTTGTTCTTTGAAATCCCATAACATATTTTTTGTGATGATTCAGCTACCTTTTGCTTGTATAATGGAAAGATTCATTGTATGTTCCAGCGGCTACCAAATAATACGGGAGTTGAGCGAGATATTGTCAGTTTATAATTCTGCACCGCTACATCTTAGAAATCCCGCCCCGTGGCTTCTCGCCAATGAACTTAGAGCCTATTGTATAGCCGAGGTATAATCATTTTTGAAAAAATAATTAAATTAAATTGGTGTCGTCCTTGAGTCGGTATACTCGACCTATACTTTAAATACAATTTATAATGGACAAACAGATAAATAAAATAGCTATATATATTCTGTTATTTCTGAAATTATCGCTACACTAAAATTTAATCGGTATGCTTAAATGTGAGTTTAGGAACAAATTTTCGAAATTTAAGGTAGCACAATTCTATAAAAGCCTAACAATATAGTTTTGAATTTTCCAAAACTTTGATATTCAAAACTAACTTTATCAAATTCTAATTCAATTGTTTTGTAAATATTTAAACTTACCTGTTAGACATTCGGATGACCAACAGGTCTTTTTGCAGTAAACACATTTTGAATTTGATGGTAGATTGCCTTCTCGCCAATGATGCTATGAAGAAAAGATTCATTTCATTATTAGCATTCTTTAAAAATATCCAAAAATAAAATCAAAACTTACTTGATGCTTTACATTTAATAGCTCCTTGCCGGGTACATAGGTGGCATTTTCTGTACAATCGGGTACAGCGAAATCTTGGCACTCGAGATGTGCATAATATTCACAAACTATTCAATAAATAGAAAATAAATATTTAATAAAAGTACAAACACAATTATAACATTATGTCATATTTGTTTACCTATACAATGTACAGAAGGTGTATCATCCATACGTTTGCGACATACTGTGCAGAATTTCTTTTTATGTTGTGTGGGTTCCGACCAACAATGAGCCACGGGATTCTATAAAAGCATAATTTTTTATTTAATATAATTATGTATGTATATAAATATTTGAAATAGGTACACAATTGACTGTCACTTACCTTAATAATACAGGGTGCAATGCCAGAGCAAGGAGTCACAACATTTGTGACACATCGTTCATGTATTATAAAGTTACACACTGCAATGAAATAAAGGGAAAATATTAATTAGTAACAATTCATATAAATGAAATAGATAACAATTGAAACATATTTTTTTTAAAAATCGATAATTTAATATTATATATTTCACATGAAATTGAGGGGACCCCTCCCATTCTCGATTTTAAATTTTCAAAATTTTCATTGGGCTGGTAGATGAATACCAATGCATGTTAAGGTTTGTAACTTTACACATATATAATTGAATATTTAAAAGAGAAGAAAAATAATTTTCAAAATTTGGTTGTTGTTGTTTTTATAGTAATCCGGAATCCGGAAATTCCAAGTGTGTTTGAAAGAGTACATGTCTGGCTCTAGTATGAACTAGGAATATTGACTTCGGTCAAAAATTAACAAAATGGCTGAACTTTGATTTTTTTAATTTCGCCTATTTTTGACCACAAACTAAGTTAAAAAATAAGGAAGATCTTCACCGATTCACTTTATCCTAGTTCATACAATACGATACACTCCCAGAGAAACGTGTCAAAATTTGGAATCGCTTGGATTATTTGTTTAGCTTTTGAAGAACGTGAATTTTGTATGTTAATTTTTTATTTAATTTGTCAGTTATTCACATGAAAGCCTTTACAAAAATCAAAGCTTAGTGTTTAGATCCTTAGAAACAGTTTTTTAATCCATCTATTGGACCTTGTAGTTCATAGGCAATTATTTTTTAAAAATCCACACTCAGTGGTCGGCAAGTCCTTGAGAAATAATCTTTAAAAATCAAACAGTCAGACCCTGCTGTCCTGTAAAAAATCATATTATTTGTGCTGTAGTCCTATGGAAACATATTCTCTAAAAAATCACGGTTATTGACCGGATAAATCTTGAAAAAAATCTTAACAAATCTACGCATTTTTGAAAACATATTTCAGAATAAAAAGCCCATGATTTTTCAATGCGGGACATTAAAAAGTTTTTAAAAATACAATCTTCTTGAAGTGCTAATCCTTAAAAAATATTTTTTTTAAATACACTCTTATTGATCTGCTAGTACTTGAAAAATATTATTTAAAAATGTCAAAACTGTAAAAAAATCTACGCCTAATGATTTGTTGGTCCTAGCAAATCCACGCCTAATGGTTTGTTGGTCCTAGAAAATCCTCGCCAAATGGTTTGTTGGTCCTTCTTGGTCCTATCAAATCCACGCCTAATGGTTTGTTGGTCCAAGAAAATCCACGCCTAATGGTTTGTTGGCCCTAGAAAATCCACGCCTAATGGTTTGTTGGTCCTAGAAAATCCTCGCCAAATGGTTTGTTGGTCCTTCTTGGTCCTATCAAATCCACGCCTAATGGTTTGTTGGTCCAAGAAAATCCACGCCTAATGGTTTGTTGGCCCTAGAAAATCCACGCCTAATGTTTTGTTGGTCCTTCTTGGTGCTAGAAAATCCTCGCCCAATAATCTATTGAAAAAATGTGTTTAGAAAATCCAAGCCTAATGATCTGTTGGTGCTTGGGAAAACAATTTTAGAAAATCCACGCCTAATGATCTGTTGGTCCTTGGAAAAATATTTGTAGAAAATATACGCCTAATGATCTGTTGGTCCTTGGAAAGATATTTTTAGAAAAGCCACACCTAATGATCTAAAAATCCACGCCTAATGATCTAAAAATCCACGCCTAATGATCTGTTTGTCCTTGGAAAAATATTTTTAGAAAATCCACGCCTAATGTTTTGTTGGTCCTAGAAAATCCACGCCTAATGTTCTGTTGGTCATTGGAAAATATTTTTAGAAAATCCACGCCTAATGTTCTGTTGGTCATTGGAAAAATATTTTATGAAAATCCACGCCCAATGGTCTTTTGGTCCTTGGAAAAATATTTTTAGAAAATCCACGCCTAAAAATATTTATTGAAAAAATCCCTGCCTAATGGTCGGTTTGTCCTTGGAAAAATGTTATTTAACAATCTACACCTAGTGGTCTGTTGGTCATTGGAAAAATATTCTTTAAAAAATCGTTCTCTAGTGGTCTGTTTGTTCTTGGAAAAATATTCTGTAAAAATCGACGCCTAGCGGTCTGT